GGTAGTCTTCCCTAGCCTAAATTGCGGACTGTGAACGCCTTTTGTCAACACAGTTTTGCTATGCGGCAAAGTGCATGCAGTGTATTTAGGTAAAGCATACATAGTGTGCATGTGTGTGCATAAAATGTAAATAGAGCACTGATGTGTGTACATTAATTAAACACACATCCTATGTCCTTAGCGATGATGCAATGATAAACATCACAGACCAGCCTTTGTAACGGGCCCTTATCAAGGTACATTATAAGAACCATTTCGTGACAAGCATACTGGAAGGGTTTGTTTTCCGTACCTTGCTGTTACGCTTCATTTCAGCACTTCTGGGCTTGCGCTGCAAACCCTTTCAAAATTTGTTTTAACAAACGAGCTCAAATAACCATTCTTTTTCTTGTGCAAGGAATTGGCGAGGAACAAACTTCTAGTTTATTGTAGGTTTACTTTTAAAAAATTGCATGGCACCTTTCAAGAAGTGCAAAATTCTATGGTGCACTCCAGTGGTACTTTATATTTTGTCTCGTCTCATATATGCCCTAAATTGAAAAGATGGCACATGTTCATGCATCTTACATGGGCGACTTGCTTGCAATCTGCAGTGGTAAAGAAGCAAGTGCCTGCCATAAGATGAGGAGGCGCATCACATCCCTTATCATGAAGCGCAAAAATGATGGCTATAAAGAGGATGCTGCAAATTTTTTGAAGGAATGAGCACTATATACAGTAATTATAAAAGCTGATATTTAGTGAGATGGGCACTAGGGGAGTAAGTAACATAAATGTTATGGTCACTTTAGTAACACACCAGATGTCGATAACTTTTAGGTCACAGGAAAGGATGGATGAGATAGAAATATGCAAATAGGGGGATCAGAAGTACTTAACATATATAAAATACTGTATTAGTATAGCCTAGACAGTCTTATACAGAATAAGCTCTCAGGAGGGTGAATTTGATTTTGCTGATGCTTCTGGTGGCAATATTGTAGTGTATATTCTGTGAATTCATGCACTATATATCAAGTATTACACATAACATACTGGTTTTCTAAAGAGAACCTAGTGAACAAAAAATTATATCTAGAAAATAAAGGCTTTCTTAAGACTTAATCAGACACACCATAGAGGTAATATGGGGCTCTTTAGAGAATTTTATGGTGGGGTCTCTGTACAGAATATCACGGTAATCCTTTAGTGCTCTAGCAATGTCTGAGTAATTCTTGAAGCCTCTTTTTGTATTAAAAATTTCTACTGTGCAAACAAGTCCCAGCACCAGGTTTGGTTCTTGGGTAATGCCGGTGGTAAAAGTGAGCTCAATCATAAGCCCTTCAGGAAAACCCACTGAAGGAACTAGATTGCTCCTATAGAGAAAAAACTTCCAGTACACCAAGAGGGGGATGAAAGAAGGATGCTGGTAAAGATCTCAAGGTGGCATATGGCCATTATTCTTTCCTAGTCACAGATTTGTGTGGCCAATATTTTGCAGACTCCTACTAACTTGAGAAAGACTAGGTATAAATATTGCTTCATCATTGCAAGAGGGCACATCACACCCTTTCAGAATTCTCTCACCGCCTTTACTAAAAATATTTTCTGGCATGGTTTTCTTTCCTTGTTCCCACACAGTTGTTTCAGTCAAGAGTATACTGCTTGTTACAGGCAATCTAGCTGGTGCCACAGAGGGACGGCTCCAGCCATCGGGATGTTTACTCTGCTGAACTTGTCAGACACTAGAATTGTGCCTGGTGTGCATGCCTATAACTAAAGATGTGAACAGTGACCACTTCAGCCTGCATCCCCTGCTCTAGTTCCCACCTGTTACACACATGTAAAAGACTGCACAGAGACGCTAGTTCTGGCAATGCTGCCATGGTGCACAAAGGTGTACTCTCACAGGAACACCATGGCAGAGCAAGCTGAGGTTGAATATAGTATTCTACTGGGAATATGATTATAATGTAAGTACTCTTGGATTCACATATAGTGTAAGGCATACACCACATAATCTTTCCTAACTGTGATCTCTTTTACTTATCTGCATAGTTTTCCAGATTAGTTATAGTAGAGAATAAAAATTTTTTTTCAGGGAGCACCCCATATTTATGTTCACAACATTTCACTCAAGCACATCAAACATATGCAGTGATATCCTGATATCCTGTATTCAGCTCTCTATTTTCAACAATCATAAACTGGTTGTCATCTTCCACTTGTGATCTTACAGGAGTTTTAATAGGTGCCCTGTTGCCACCTTGTGTTAACGATGCCACAATCATTAAATTAGTTTAACAAAGCTTATAGCTTGGCTAGATAATGCATAGCTTCAGGGGAGATTAAAGCAGAGAACTAAGACTTACATAAGACGAGAAACACAGCACACATGTTGATTCTTCCACCTATCCTCATGTGTACCTTTTCCAGCAAATACGTAGGAAAACATATGCATGCACACTATTGCGAGGTGCTATGTCGCAGTCATTTCACATCAAGAAACATCACAAACAATGCTCAATCAACTTTTCCACCTTTTTAAGTTATGACAGATGTGTCACTAATCACTCTTGTCGATGATATGTGGGTCTCAAAGCCACCACATTATTATGAGAGACGCCATAGTGGAGGACTCCAAGAATTTAGACCACTTGTGGTTCTTTAACGTGCGCCTGAGCACATGGGCCTACAGCATTTTCGCCTTCATCCAAAATGCAGTCGCCGCAGCCGGGATTCAATCCCCCGACTTGCAGGTCAGCAGCCGAGTACTTAGCCACTAGACCACCGAGCGGGGCCTAATCACTCAAGTCTGAGCATGAAATGCTTTGAACAGTTCACATACCATTCTATCGCGACCCCTACCTGGAATCCCAATCTCATAATAATATAAGCTGACATGCTCTGCCACTCATGCAAAGTCGGTCAAATTTTTCTACTCGCTTTCAACAGCCATTAAGTCCCCTCCTAACAACCTGCCTCCAAACTCCATGTAGTCATATACCAGATATAAGTGATATTTATTATATCACATATATTAATCTGGTATATAATAACCACCGAGATATACAAACATGCTTGTGAAGCATGAATACAGTCGAACCTCGCTATGACGAAACTGAAGGGACGCGCGAAAAATTTCGTTGAAGCGGAAATTTTGTTGTGGCAAAGTCTGCCCCAGAACACTGTTGCATTTGACTAAAAACGTGACAAACATAATTTATTTGCAAAATAAGTATGCCAGCTTCGTCTGCCGTCTTCCTTTCGACATGAGCGCCGTAGCGCGATGTTTGCAGTCGGTGATCTGCTGCATCGCACCGTCGACATCATGGATGCCAAAGAAATTGCGAATCTAATCAAATGCGTCCATTACACCCAACGCAGGAGGCGGCGCCGAAACGTTTTGAGCATCAAACTCGTCGTCCGACGACGCGTCGTTATAGCATACTTCATCGATAATTGCCCCGTCATTTAGCCCCTCATGAGCAATAACGTCCGCATCAACGGCGAAGAACTGATCGATGCACACATCCTGTGGTATATTTCCGGTGTCTTGAAGATTGGTTGGTTGGTTGGTTGTTCCTCAGAGTCCTGGCGCAACCCACCACGGGTGATTGACCATGAAACGGACGGTGCACTGGAACAGGAACAGGTTCCAGTGCAGATTTAGGGAAATCTGCACTGGAACAGTTATAGGAAAAACTACGACTGCACTTTTCCTGATGTTTAATGATAGATTAATGTCGTCTAAACATGTGTCCAGAGCGTTCATATAAAACTGTAGCATCTGATATAATGTATGTATATCTGTAGCTGTAGCAAAAAGGCGATGTCGTCAGCGTATACATGCACCTAGCTGTACATCGTGTTGTACTAGATTTGTGCACAATGAAATATTAAATAATGATGGTGAAAGTACCGAACTTCGGGGGAGACCTCTAGTTTGTTTATACTTTGAAGACGACATGCCAAATCGAGAGCAATAGAATTCTCTATCTTTTAGAAAAGAGTAAACCCATGCGACGAAGTAATTTGGTAATCCGATGTGCGTTAGCAAATTTATTAGTTTAATGTATTCCACACTGTCATAAGCTTTTGCAATATCTAAAGTTACTAAGCCGGAAACCTGTTTCATAGAACGAGCTAGTTGTATCCTGCTTTACAGATCAACATGGGCACACTAAATGGAGCAGCCACGCCTGAATCCGATCTGGCATGAGCTTAATATTGCATTTTCGTCCAACCAGTTGTCTATCCAAACGTGTAGAAGTCTTTCGATTAGTTTTACCAGATTTAATGTGAGTGAAATAGGCCTAGTGTTATTCAAAGTAAACCAAGCTCCATGTTTCTTTAATAAAAAATTATTTTCGTGATTCTCCACTCAGGCGGAATCCACAAATGTCTAATGGAGTGGTTAAGCACTGCATGTTGAGGTGATACTTTATGGATTATTTCTATTACCGCTGCAGTTATTCCATCGAGACCTGGAGCAGAATTGGGCAATATTTTCACTACTTGTGCTATTTCCGACGCTGTAACCTCTTCAAAGTCATCGCTGTTAACGGGGCACGGCGAGTGGTAAAAGTTAGCAACCGTGAAGCGGCTTTCCAGCCTTGAGCAATATCTTCCAGAAAAGTAGGCACCTCAAGTGGCGTTGAAACTATCGATTCGAGGTTTGTTGGTGGTGGGATTGGATTACTTTTCGGGCTTTAAGGAAGTTGAAAAGTAATTTCCTGTGGCCAGGCTTTGAAAGGAACTCAGAACTTTGGCAAGTTCTGATTGGCAGTCGGGAATTAATAGATTAATACGGCAGTCGGGAATAGAAGCTCAAAGGATAATACATGTAGTTAAATTGAATATTTTACGTAGTATTGCCATTTAATTTTATTATTTCGGGTTTTCAATTTCATAGCTTTTTTAAAACAACATTCAGCTGTCTCAACGTTGCATGCATTCTTTGCCAATCCCCCAAAGTGGGTACGTACAATTTAGATAAAAAAAAACATCACGTCGATAAAATGGCGGAGGGAGATCTGAACGTGGACAGCGTTATTTTCCGCCTCTTAGAAGACCGGGAATGCCGCCCGCAAATGACTGTGCCGCTGACAGAGACGGAGATTCTCGGCCTCTGCATTAAGTCGCGGGAGATCTTCATGAGCCAGCCAATCCTTCTTGAGCTCGAGGCGCCACTTAAAGTTTGCGGCGATAAACATGGTCAGTATACAGACCTCATCCGGCTCCTTAAACGCGGCGGCTTCCTTCCTGAGACAAACTACCTTTTCCTGGGTGATTACGTTGACCGAGGCCAGCAGTCACTGGAGACCATTTGCCTGCTGCTAGCCTACAAGGTTAAGTACCCCGAAAACATCTTCCTTCTTCGGTAAACTACGAGTGCGCGTCCGTCAACCGCATTTACGGGTTCTACGACGAGTTCAAGCGCTGCTACAACATCAAGCTCTGGAAGACGTTCACCGACTGTTTCAACTGTCTGCCCGTCGCCGCCATAATCAACGACAAAATATTCTGCTGCCATGGCGGACTCTCGCCCAACCTACAGCCGATGAAACAGATAAGGAGTATCAGGAGACCAACAGACGTTCCAGAAACAGGCCTTTTGTGTGATTTACTTTGGGCGGATCCCGACTAAAACATCCAGGGCTAGGACGAGAACAGCAGCGGTGTATCGTTCACCTTTAGAGCAGATGTCGTGTCCAGGTTTCTCACCAGACATGACCTTGACCTTGTATGCAGAGCTCACTAGGTTGTAGAAAATGGCTACGAGTTCTTCGCCAAACGCCAGCTGGTGACCCTGTTCCCTGCTCCAAACTACTGCGGACATTTCGACAACGCTGGTGCCATAATGTCCATCGACTTTGCGCTATGTTGCAGCTTCGAGATACTGAAACCTTCCGGGCAGAGGGTGACCAGCATGACGGTCTCTGCACCGAACAAGTGACGCCGGCTTGGGGACCACTGAAGAAGTGAACATGAGCACTGGTAAAAAAGATTATTAAAAAACAATAAAGATGCTTGTGGCTAAAAGTGTTTTGTATCAGGAAGTGCGCCTGCCAACACTTCTTGGTGGATTCCACCAAGGAGGATTGAAGAAATTTGCTGGAGTGAAAATTCCCGCAATGCCTTGCCAGCAGAGGTGAAGCCAGCTTTTGCCACTGCCAAGATGGCGGAAACATGCTCTTTCCTGGTAGTGCCCACTTTGAGACCAAGTGGCTTTGATGTGCTATATTGTAAATTCTACATTAGTTCTAATCTAAACGATAGTTGTTCCCGACGAAATAACACACAGAAACGAGTATGGGTGACTCAATCTCCAAAGACGTTTGCCTCCAGTTAGAGGCTTACTAAAGAAAATTAGTAACACTAGGACGCACTTAGAGCACTATGTGACGCGAAAAAGTTTCAACATTAAACTCGTTGGGCGTGCCAGAGAAACGTTTCATTCTTAATCGCGGAACGGTGATACTTTATCATGTGTCTAGACAGATGGCCGCTGCCGCAGCCTTGTTGCCTTATGCACGACGTCACTCCTGGGCAATCATTTTCACTACATCGATTTTTTATATTCCCCTGGAATTCCGCATGCGAATGGTTCAAACCTCTTTAAAATTTATTGTTTACCAACCAGAAGGGATAGGAACGCCTTTATTGGTGATCCCGAATTCGTTTTTCTTACTCAATGGCCACGTTTTTATGCACGTCAGATTATTTTTTTGTAAAAAAAAAAACAAGTTAGCATAAATGTTGACAATAAAACGGTAATTCAAACTTATAACTCAAACCGTAATATTTACAAAAAGTAAAATGAAGATCTCCCCCTTCGCCAAATCTAAGTTCGAATATTTTAGAGTTTTTCAACAGTATAGAATAAAACACTACCTGGTAGAAATAAATAAAGCAATAAGCACAGATGCTTCTGGGAACAGAGAAAACGCTAATATTTTGTGCTTCGAAAATTTCTTTCGAAGGAATTGAGAAAAATGATCATAGTAGATTCGCTTTCGGTACGTGCAGCTATTACAGTTTCAGGCAAAATCACGTGCCCTATACTCATGAAACACAAAAAAGCTAGTACACGTTTAATAAATGTCATAAGCATCAAGTCAAAAGGGCTAATAGACGTCTCGATCAAGACATTTTACAGTCATGGACGGCTATCTGACTGTCCGAAAGCTGTGCTAATGTCCCACAAGTTTTCATCTAAAAAAGCCTTGCCAGACGACGTTTAGACGTTGTCAAAATATTTTCGTTTTTTTGCTAGTTGCAATAAAAAAAACTAAAAATGCACTACAATGTATGATAAGTTTGTCGAATAGGCCTTGTTGGTTTTTATACACGTAAGATGTCGAACGTGAAAGATATAGAAAGGAACACAGAGGCTGTCTACGTCATGCACGTGCAACAGTTTACGAGAATGGCAATCCAATAAGTCTTAGTCGACACCCTTCTCATATGTGGTAATGCCTTTTTTTAAAATTTCTAATGAAGCTACAGCAGAATAGGAAACGTTTAGAAAACGTACATTCGTCCATCAATCAATCCATCCATCCGTCCATCCATTCATTCACAACTGCATAACGAGCATAAGTGACTAGTCATAACATGAAAATCGTGACACGTATACCATGAATGACATGATCTAGATCTCATGGTCCAGCTACTGCTCTTGCGGTGTTTTTGTTCACATGACATATTGAAAAACGGGTATGGTATGACGTGACTGTATGGCAAGTATAAGTGCAGCAATTAACGAGAAAACTGGGACATTTGTGTCATGGAAGAACATGACTACATGCTATACGCTCATAGCGCTCCCACGGGCGTTTCGTAGCTTCTCTTATACCAAAGTTAGTATTAGGTGACGCGAACGAGCAATGAAGGTAAATGACACTTTCAAACATGACAGTCATGACATGCGTGTCATGTAAAAGATGACTACATGTACGTGCATTGCGCGCTGACAGCAGTTTCGCTGGCTTCACACATACCAAATGTTGTACGAATGATGAAGGTATGTGACGGGTGCAAACATGATAATTATGACATGCGTGTCATGTAAGAACATGACTACATGCCACACTCAAGATGCGCTGGCAGCCGTTTCGCTAGCTTCACATATATCAAACTTGGTATTACGTGACGCGAATGGAAGACGAAGGAAAATGATGCGCCCAAGCATGATAATCATGACATGCGTGTCATGTAAACCGCGACTACCTGCGGCGCTCATAGCACACTCGCGGCCATTTCGATAGCTTCACATATACTAAATTTGGTATTACGCAACGTGAGTCGACAACGAACACAATTGTCAGGTGCAAGCATAATATTCAGTACTTGGAATTCATGTACGTTATAATTTACATGCCTACTACTGCTAGTGCTGGTATTGCAATCGTTAGTGGTGCCATCGGTACGCATCTATAAGCAACGTACTTGCATCTTATCTATCTATACGTGAGTTCGCATAACATTTCTACTTGTGTTCAGTTTGTGCTACATCCGTGGGCCTCGTAACGTTGTGGTGATTTAAAGTGACATATCAGCCCTCCTCATTCACGCCTTCGCATGTCATGAATTCCCATTGTACGTGGGATTCGCCATTTTTTACAGCAGAATAGAGTTTTGAAGGATTTGTTATGCTTGAGGTTTGCCTTGTTTTGTAAGTAGGAAATCATCATAATGAATCAACACACACTCTCTTCATCGTCATCTTTTTCCTCTTTAGGTTCGCTTCCACGAAAGGTGTGCCACTTTATCCGGCGCAGCATGACTCTGATGGGCGAGAGAACAGATATAAACAGAAAGTAAAACAGAAAAAGAGAGAAAAAGAGAAATTAATTGTCGGATTATTCCGCTTAATGCAACTTCTTTAGAAACCGAAACCCTCAAATATCGTTTTCTGTCATATTACCGGTACAGAATACTAATAAAATTTGTTCTTGTCATGCGAATAGCTAAGCTTGGGCTGAACTTGAGAAATGACAATAGGCTTTTTTTCGGTGCTTCGGCTTTGGGCTTAAGCCAAAAGAATGCTTTATTGCCATTTGTGCTTATCTTCACAAAACAAAACAAAAAACTATTATTCAAAAGGCTATCTGTGTTTCAAAAAATAGCAGCAATATTTTGACATAAAAACTTTTCAGTATTATTCTTATAATACTACTTTCTATCACGGTTATTTGTCGTCACGATAATATATCCACTGTACGGTCGGAAATTGAGAAAAACGAATATTGCGCTATTTTTGTTTTTACGTGATTTATTTTTATCTTGATCATCAAGATATGTACTTAAGATTTCTCATTAGCTCGTATATTACATTTTAGCCAATACCGCGAATAGGTATGAGACATCTTTTAGATATATAGTTAACATCATTATAATTGGCGAAGAAAACAACATTTTGAGGCGGAAATAAAAAATATTGAGCTAAATTATTCATTCTAGATATTTAGGTGTTATCAATCAGTAAATAAATTTGCTGTTTACCTATCTCTAGCTTATACGAGAAATATTGTGGGGAAACACCAAAACGTTCACAAAACACTCGGCCAATTTGCTGCATTGGTTACGAGCCATGAGAAGAGAAGAAGAAGAAGAAGAAGAAGAAGAAGAAGAAGAAGAAGAAGAAGAAGAAGAAGAAGAAGAAGAAGAAGAAGAAGAAGAAGAAGAAGAAGAAGAAGAAGAAGAAGAAGAAGAAGAAGAAGAAGAAGAAGAAGAAGAAGAAGAAGAAGATAAAGAAGGGGTACCTCTCAAGCCATCACGACGTTACGATGTTTAGTCCTTTCTCAGCTGAATTGCCTGATATTAGTATGGGTCCCAGGTCACTGTGGGTTAACAATAAATGAAATGGCTTACGCCTTAGCCCACTCATCGCTAGATCTGCCAAAAGTCCACCTTCTCCCAGTGGTAGAACACTTCACCGCAATCATGTTTAGAAGATTAACTATTAGGATAGATAGGATGGAAACAATACCCACATGGACAGAATATGATCACCTAAAATATCCATGGAAATTGTAGTGGAGGCATTCTCTACAATCAGAAGTGACTATCACAAGATTTCGATGTGGTGTCCCACCAAATAATTTTTACTAGCACAGGGCTGCTGTGTGACCCCGCTGCCAATTTTGCTGGTAACACGAAATTAGTGCACATTGATTTTTATCACGTTCATAATACTCTCGCGTTAGAACTCAATGTCTAAAAACTCCTTTTGCAAAATTAGGCTTGACCTTATCGGAGGAAAAAGTTTTAACCTTCGGTGCTTCATGGTTGGGATATTGCCACAGAGATGCCTTTGATGCCGTGTGTAATTTCAATAAAACTACTCAACGAGTACCCTTTTAATTATGTATTTATTATTATTCGTAAATTCATTAGGTTAGCATCTGGGTTTGGTAAATTTTTTTCTTCAGATTAATATGGCAGATGGGAATATGAGCTCACAGGATAATACACGTAGATAAATTATTTATTTTACGTAGTATTGACATTTATTTTATTATTTCTGGTTTTAAATTCCATAGCTTACGTAAAAACACATTCAACTGTCTGAACGTTGCATTCTTGGTCAATCCCCCAAAGTGGGTATTTGCCATTTAGATAAAAAAACATCACGTCGAGAAAATGGCGGACGAACATCTGAACGTAGACAGCGTTATTTTCCGCCTCTTAGAAGACCGGGGATGCCGCCCGGAAAAGACTCTACCGCTGACGGAGACGGAGATTCTCGGTCTCTGCCTTAAGTCGCGGGAGATCTTCATGAGCCAGTCAATCCTTCTTGAGCTCGAGGCGCCACTTAAAGTTTGCGGCGATATTAACTGTCAGTATACAGACCTTATCCGGCTCCTTAAACGTGGCGGCTTCCCTCCTGAGGCGAACTACCTTTTCCTGGGCGACTACGTTGACCGAGGCCAGCAGTCACTGGAGACCATTTGCCTGCTGCTAGCCTACAAGGTTAAGTACCCCGAAAACATCTTCCTTCTTCGGGGCAACCACGAGTGCGCGTCCGTCAACCGCATTCACGGGTTCTACGACGAATGCAAGCGACGCTACAACATCAAGCTGTGGAAGACGTTCACCGACTGTTTCAACTGTCTGCCCGTCGCCGCCATAATCAACGACAAAATATTCTGCTGCCATGGCGGACTCTCGCCCAACCTCCAGTCGATGGAACAGATAAGGAGCATCAGGAGACCAACAGACATTCCAGAAACAGGCCTTTTGTGTGATTTACTTTGGGCGGATCCCGACATAAACATCCAGGGCTGGGACGAGAACAGCCGCGGTGTATCGTTCACCTTTGGGGCAGATGTTGTGTCCAGGTTTCTCACCAGACATGACCTCGACCTAATATGCAGAGCTCACCAGGTTGTAGAAGATGGCTACGAGTTCTTCGCCAAACGCCAGCTGGTGACCCTGTTCTCGGCTCCAAACTACTGCGGACATTTCAACAACGCTGGTGCCATGATGTCCATCGACTTTGCGCTATGTTGCAGCTTCGAGATACTGAAACCTTCCTGGCAGAGAGTGACCAGCATGACGGTCTCTGCACCGAACAACAAGTGACGCCAACTCGGGGACCACTGGAGAAGAGAACATGAGCACTGGTAAAGGAGATTATGAAAAAAACAACAATAAAGATGCTTGTTGCTACAAGTTTTTTGTATCAGGAAGTTCGCCTGCCAACACTTCTTGGTGGAGTCCACCAAAAAGGATTGAAGAAAATTTGCTGGAGTGAAAATTTCCGCAATGCCTTGCCAGCAGAGGTGAAGGCAGCATTTGCCACTGCCAAGATGGCGGAAACATGTTCTTTCTTTGTAGTGCCCACTTAGAGATCAAGTGGCTATGATATGCTACAATGTAAACGCTACGTTAGGTCTATAATAAAAAATAGTTGTTTCCGACGAATTGACCATTTGCGGAAAAGCGAGCGCCACCTGCCGTCTAAACAGGGAAGCAGCGCTCGCGCTTTTGGTTGGAAAGGCATTCGTGAACTAACATGTGCTAGGCAGCGTTCGGCGGCTCGCGTGCGCTTGTTTTATTGATTTAGTGTTGTTTCTTTGCCGGAAACGTGCGCTGCTCACGGAAACAACGTGATAGAAGAAGAAAAACATCCCGTTTGCGTTTGTGGAAACGGGATGGAGCGAGGATTTTTCGCGTTGCAGCCTGAGCAACGACGACGTGTGACGGTACCTACACTCCGCTACTTCGACCGTTCGCCAGGCTCATCGCGGCTGGTCCTTCAAGGAAGAAGGATACGTCAAACACTTGAAGTTGAATCTCCAAACACTGATGACGAACTAGGTCTGGTGAGAGCGGCGTGCGCACCGTCCATGAAGTCCGGCGTGTATGTAACAACGGCATGGTTCGTCGTGGCTACCGGTGTTATCAAACGCGCGCTGCAGATCCGAGAATGTTTGTTGGGCGCCCACGGCGAACCGTCGGCATTCTGTCTCCTCACAGCAGCTAGCCAAGCATCTCTCTTTTCGGCACGTAGCCTCGCGGACGGGAACCTGTAGAAATGCGTGCTTCCTTTCTGAGTAAAATAATTCGTGCAGCCGTAGGCCACACAGTGCGCTGGCATTTCTGTACGCTGCTAAAGCGAGGCGACTTAGTTCAGTGACGGCACAGAGATGCACGAGTGACGGCCGGCCCGGCTCGTGTTTTCCAACCAAAACCAAAGCGCCCATGGAGGGCGCCAGCTGCGCCGTTACCGCGCATGCGCAGAAGCTTTTCCGCAAATGGTCAATTAACACACAGTATGGGTGAATATCGCCAAAGAACTTTGTCTCGAATTGGACGTTTACTAAGGAAAATTAGTATTACTAAGACGCCCTTGGTGCACTATGTTGCTCGAAAAAGTTGTTGGGCGTGCGAGAGAAACGCATCATTCTTAATCGCTGAACGGTGATACTTTATCATGCCCCTAGTAGGATGGTCACTGCAGGCGCCTTGTTGCCGTAGGCACTGCTTCACTCATGGACAATCAATTTCACACCAGCAATTTTTTTTATATTCCCCTGGAATTCCGCATCTTGGTTGAAACCTCTTTAAAAGTTTAATGTTTACCGACCAAAAGAGATAAGTATGCCTTTATTGGTGATCAAAAGTCCTGTTTTTGCTCATTGGCCACGTTTTATTGTCCTCAGAATATTTTTGTAAAAAAAAAAAAAAACTGGATAGCGTCAATGTTGACAAGTAACGGTAATTCAAATTTATAACTAAATCTGTAATATCTGCATAGAGTAAGATGACTATCTCTCCCCTCGCCAAATCTAAGTTCAAATCTTTAAGAGCTTCTCAACACTATAGAATAAAAGATTACCTGGTAGAAACAAGTAAAGTAGTAGTCACAGATGCTTCTTGGAACAAAGAAAATGCTAATATTGTTGTACTTCAAAACCTTCCTTCAAACTAATTCAGCACAGTCATCATAGCTGTGGTGCGATTATATACAAATTCCTAATCCGGACAAATGCGGTCTGTTTTATTGAGTTGCATGCGATGGGCCCATTCGAGCCGTGACGAATGCTATAACGTTCTATGTGACGTGGGGTGGAGGTGTGACGTGCTGTTTTTTTTTCCGGTTTTCGGAGGAAGTCGAAGGAATGGTCGGAGAGAGCGTCCGAAAGGAACCGGTTGGATTGAAACGGCTGCTAGGTGGCCTGGATTGGATTGAGATGTAAGGTATTTGCGACTTTTCAGAATCCGGGCACTTAGACAACATAACGTTTTCCACTGCCACGGTTCTTCGTCTCGCCTGTGCGGCAGCTGTAGCTGAGCAGAGGCGACGACGCGAGGTAAGAGATGCATTTGAAGAGTTCAGTAAAGAAGAGTTACGGCAATATTTTCGTCTGTTCAAACAAACAGTGCGTAACTTGTGCGGCGAACTTGACCCTATCATCGGATGCCAGCGAGCCAGTGGCCTTTCCACAGAGAGGAAGGTGTTGTGCGTGCTGCGATTTTTCGCCACTGGTAGCTTCCATAGGAGCATTGGTCGCGAGGAACACATCGGCATGTCTCAGCCTGCGGTGAGCAACACCATCCACGAGGTGACAGAGGCGATCACCACCGTGGCTGCTAGGAAAAGGGTGGTGGACTTCCCACTGACCACAGTTGCCAAGGATGAGGCTAAGGTGGAGTTTGCGTGACGTGGTTGCATCTTAGGCGTGCTGGCGTGTGTCGACGGCATGTTGGTCGCCATTCGCAAGCCAGAGGGATACAGCCTGGCTGACACGGCGATCTTCATGTCCAGAAAGAGCTATTATGCCCTGAACGTCATGATTGTAAGTACCGCTAGGATCCTTTCTTACTCGTCCATCGGAGTAGTTGTTCAGTTTTGACGTCGGAGCTGGATAAAGTACTAATTCAAAGAATAAGAGAGAACCTGCAGATAAATGGGTGCGTGCTAGTTGGTGTCTCCATGGCCTCAGTTATCATAAATGGCAAGTGTTTGTGTGAGCGAACCAGTGTTCGTTATTTGTGTTTTTGTTCTGCCGTGCTTGCGCAATGGAGCTGTGCATTTTGAAGGAAATCAGCATATGGACCGCAGTCGTAGCAGAATTATATAAACTATAGAGAACTATTTCAAACACGAAAGTACCTACAACCACAATTGCATGGGCTAGCTGTGGTATTTACGAGTGTTCTTTCCCAATAGCATGGCGTAGTTTTTCGCTTATTGATCATTCAGTGGAAGTCGTAGCGATGTGTACAGGGGAATGGTCCCTGCCCCCTTCCCTCCTCAGTTGCTACACCCTGTCCCTGTGTTCCCCTCTCGGTGAAACTGCCTTTACCAATGACTGTACTAGTATCCATTGTTTCTGGCATATTCGTAGCAAAAAAGGGATTTATTTGGAGCATAGATGTAGTACTATTTTGTATCAGTCATTGCAGGTGTGCAACGTGCGGCTGCGCATCCTTGTCGTCGACCCACGATTCCCAGGTTCGTGCCACGACTCTTCTGTTTGAGAACACAACCTTCTGCGTGCACGCCTAGCTGCACAGCTGCAACCTGGCGAATATCTGCTTAGTAAGTATTAATGTGAACTAACTAGAGTTTAGCACTCAGCCGTCATTTCTCTATTGCAGGAGACGCAGGGTATCCCCTTGAGCCGTGGCTCCCCATTCCACTTCCTGGCAGTCACCCAGGCAACACTTCCGAAGGCCGATACAACAAGGAGCACGCATCCATGCGCAATGTTGTGGAAAGATGTATCGGAGTGTTGAAGAGCAAGTTCCGCTGCTTGCAGCGCGTTCGAACGATGCTCTACAACCCCGATCGAGCAGTGCGAATCATTTATGCTTGCGTTGCTCTCCACGACATTGCATTGGACGCGGGGACTGGACCTTAAATGAGTATGTTGGGGAAATGCCACCAGCTGAGGATGGCGATGGGGAGCCAGGAGAGAGCCATACGCTCACACCGCGCAACATGCTGCTCAGAGGACAGCAGCAGTGCAGCGCTGTTGTGGGCCTTTTTTGAAGTACACAGGAACGGTAAGCTGTCATATCACACACATAATTTATTCATACTAATTCAAGGGCACCTAGGCATGACAGGGCCGTGTTGCCACATTTGAATATACAAAGTACTTACTCGTGCTTCAACATGATGCATGGTGGCAATGTGAGAATGCTGCATTTTCTTTAAATGTCACATGAAAAAGGCAACGGAAACACCCTTTTTTATATCAGTGATCACAGTCACAACAGACTAGATTGGAGCAAGCATATATAAGCGGTACCCTGTGCTGAATGTTGCCATGAAAAAATTGTGGGAACAATTCAGCAACGTCACACAACTTCTTTCCCCAAAATGCATAAAATTGCAGGTATATTAGAAATATGTTGCACGAACGCATGATACATAGATCCGTCTCTTCTCATAGTGATTCACTACAAGCATTCTATTGTACACGCTAGGCTTGCCGAGCACAATGCCGTGCCGGCTACTTGTTTGCTGTCCCCAACATTGTAAAAATTATGTCTGCTATGAGTAATCTACAATGAAAACTAGATGAAAACAGTCGCTGTCATGTTGCTGTGATGATGAACATTTTCATTTGTCAAACTGTGCGACATACCCACTTACTAGTTTAGTGATCTCAAAAAAGACTTGATTGTAGTTGTCGTACCTTAGCCTGATTGCGCTGAAATGATAATATCATAGTGAAGCAATTATCGGCAGGTAAACATGCTTCATAAAGAATGCAGCAAGCTGCGAAACAGTATGAGGCTAAAAGATATTGCAGTCCAACGCTATGTAGTAACGCTGCATAAAAAGCGCAGTGAGCTAGAAAACAGTGAGGCAACACAATTGTCACAGTTCTAAAGACATTCACAAAATGTCAACTATACGCTCGTGGTCTCCGTGTGGATGACTAGATACCTTTAGGATGGGGGGGCGGGGGGGGGGGAGAGGCGGAGACGCTGCCTCAGGAGTAGTTCGAACATAAACTGAGAAACGCATATATCCAACATCAAAGCAGATGAAAGGCTTGTGAAGAAAAAAATACTGCACTCCTTGTACAAAGTGAATGCTATCCTAAAGCTAGTAATATGTAATAAATGCAAACAAACAATGTATAAAATAGAACTTGGACAGCAACGCGTAAACATATCAAAACCAGCAAACCAATAATGTATGATAAAAATTAGAAACATTGAAAACCCGATGAAAAGTTAAAATTAACTTTGCATCTCTTTCCTGCAGAGGGCCCTCAGCCATGGCCCGGGCCAAGGATTGGACCGCCTGCAGGATGCTTTCCTGCACCGCTGCCGCCCACTCCTGTGCTGCTGCCATATGCCGTACTGAGGAAGCGATGCGAATGGCTGACCTTTTGATCCCCCGCAGCACCTGCAATGAATCATTATGATGAAATTGTTTGCATGAGCTGCTGATGAACTCTCGACCATCTCGGGGCTCGAAGCAGCTGCTGCCAAGAATTGCAACGTGCACAACAATTCTCCCTCAGTTGAAAACCCACTGGTCTGGTGGCATCCTTTGAAAGTGTGAAGCTTCGTGTACAAGCTATGCCCTCTTCGTTTGGATCAACAAAAATTTGCTGAAACTACTGTTCATTCATCTCCTCAAATGCATATCTTATCATCAAACAGCTCTTTTCAGGCCTAACCAGCCTTTTGCCCGGCAGTTTATCATTGCAGATGTCAGATACCGTTCCCTCAATACAATGCTTAGTTCTTATTTACGGCCCAAGTTGGTTTCAGTCATCATAACAGAGCATGAAGAATGTTCACGCCCTTTATGTAAAATGTAAACAAAGGGTCTATTCACATCAAGCAACTGCTCGTTCTGCTCGAGGCTCCGGTCGCACTGCGAAGATACCCGACACAAGGTGTCGGCGCGCCGTGGCCTTTGTCGGTGGCGAGGCCCACAGGAGGCTGAGACACTGAAAACATTCAGCATTTTCGTCAACGCATGCTGTGGTAGGCTTTAAGTGTATGGCCATGTTGTGGATAATTGGGAAACTTGAATAACATACGAGAGGTTATTTTCTCTTAAATACTTTGATGATCAGTAACTTACCCGGTGCAGCGGGCGGGCTTTCAGGGTCATTTGGGGGGCCTTCAGTGGAATACAGATTAAAAGTTCACGAACTGGGGGCACATACGTCCCATAATCAATAAAACACTAAGTTCTCAGATGCTCACGTGTCACTGTGTCACTGCCCCCTGCAGCCGCGTCAGTGGCTTCCACCTCCACTGCAGAAGCGGTCACACCCGCCTGCTGGAAAGTGTCGCGAGTGTGACCCTTCAGAAAGTGGCTATTCATTACTTTGGCTATTTTACAACCTTACGTACGAAACATTTGGGGAAATGTTTTACACCTATTCAGAGGTCAATGATACCATGTATAACCATTTTAGTGCATGCACTGCACGTCTCTTATGATAAATAAATATGCCTTTTACTGCAAGGACTGCAACCTAAAATTTTAGTTGATAAACGTACCTGCTTTTGAATTCTTTCTCTTGCGCTATCTTCCTGTTCAACAAGGTTTCCCTAAAGGCACCATTTACAAATATGGGCTAACTCTCTCATGACACCGCTCAGAAATCCGTGATACTGCGGCTCTAGAGTGCTTACCTGTCGATAGTTAAGGCAAGCGAAGATGCCACCGAAGCGTTTCAGCCCGGTTAGCTGTAATAAGCGAGCACGGAAGCCTGGCAGACGACCCGCTCCAGTGCCCCTAGAAATATACACCAATGTCAAAGAACAAATCACCCGCACATTTGACGGTCACTCACGTTTGTGCCTCCTTAACGGCGGCGGCGTCACGGCGGGCCTCGTGCACCTACCTGCACCACCAAGCCTGCCACTCATCCACGTTTTTCTGCGCAGGGTCTTCAAGGTTCAGCGCGTCACTGAGCTGTTGCCACAGCCGCCACCGGTCGGCGACCGTGACGCTGTGCTGCAGCACAATGGCTTTCGCCACGAGTGCGGATGTTCGGTGATAAAGGCGAGCACCAGCGCGCGCTGACCCTCGGAAACGCGGATGGGCAGCTGCTGCTGGTGGCTAGCGGTGCCGTTGCCCTCCACCATGACTGCGCTCGACTGAGTCAACGACTTCGAAAGTTGCGCCGTTTGGTGGTGGAGATATGGGAACAGTAACTGCTTGAAACAGGGTTGTACTTAGCGGCACTACTAAACATACCACTAAATTCAGCGTCGTTTTAAAACAATGCCAGAAAAAATACGTTTGGATTGTGCCGTATTCCTTATTCAACGTTTGAACACTAGTGCCAACACATTTTTATAGTGAGCAATAATAGTTAAACATTTTTCAACACGTTACAAACACTTTTCACTTTGCTATACGGTCCCTAAGCCGACGTCAAAATGACGCAAGCCTCCATTTCCCTCATAGGCTGTTCGCTTTCCCTCGTCCTCGCGACCACTGCGGACCGCCTACTTTTGACGTCACCGACAGAACGCCTCCATGCGGATTAGGAATTTGTATATAATTGCACCACAGATTCACTTTCGGTGTGTTACGAAGGTAAATGACATTTTCAAACAAGACAGTGATGACATGCGTGTCATGTAAAAAATGACTACATGTACGTGCATAGCGCGCTGATAGCAGTTTCGCTGGCTTCACATATACTAAATTTGGTACGAATGATGAAGGTATGGGACGGGTGCAAACATGATAATGACATGCGTGTTTCGTAGGAACATCAATAGATGCCACACTCAAGATGCGCTGGCAGGCGCTTCACTAGCTTCACTAATCAAATTTCGTATTACGTGACGTGAATGAAGGACGAAGGTAAGTGTCATGCCCAAACATGTTAATCATAACATGCATGTCATGGGAAACATGACTACCTGCGGCACTCATAGCATGCTCGCGGCCATTTCGATTGCTTCACATATAAATAAATTTGGCATTACGCAACGTGAGTAGACTAGGGACACAAATGCCAGGTGAAAGCATGATAATTATTACATGGATGTCATGTATGGTATAACTTACATGCCTCCCACTGCTAGTGCAGGTATTGCAAACGTTAGTAAGCCCTCGTTACGCAACCATAAGCAACGTACTTTCATCTTATCTATATATGCGTGGGTGTGCATAACATTTCTACTTGTGTTCAGTTTGTGTTGCATCCGTACGCCTCGTAACGTTGTGGTGGTTTTAAATGACATATCAATCCTTCTTACTTACGCTTCGCAAGTCACCAATTCCAAATGTACGTGAGATCTGCCATTTTTTACAGCAGAATGGAGTTTTAAAGTATTGGTTAAGCTTGAGGTTAGCCATGTGTGGTAAGTAGGAATACATCATAATAAATCAGCACACACTTTCTTCATCATCATCTTTTTCCTCTTTAGGGTTCGCTTCCACGAAAAGTGTGCCACTTCATCCGGCACAGCATGCATAACTCTGATGGGCGAGAGAACAGGTATAAACAAAAAGAAAAAAACAAAAAGTGAGAAAAAAGAGAAATTCATGGACGGATCATTCCCCTTAATGCCACTTCTTTTAGAAACCGAAACAATTACAATATTGTTTTTTGTCATATCACTGGTACAGAGTACTAATAAAATTACTAATAAAATTAGTTCTTGTCATGCGAATCGCTAAGCTCGGGCTGAACTTGAGAAATTACAATAGGATTTTTTTCGTTGCTTCGGCTTTGGGCTTCAGCCAAAAGAATGCTTTAGTGCCATTTGTGCTTACGTTCACAAAACAAAACTAAAAAACAAAATTCAAAGGGCTATCTGTGTTTTGACAAAATAGCAGCAATGATTTGACATAGAAAATTTTGTTATTGTTCTTATTACCATTACTTTTAATCACGGTTATTTGTCGTCACAATAACATCTACACTGCCTGGTCTGAAAGTAAGAAAAATCCCTATATCGCTATTTTCGTTTTTACGTGTGTCTTTTTTGTCTTGATCATCAAGATATGTACCTGAAATTTCTCATTAACCCGTGTATTATATTCTTAGCCAAAACCACGAATGGATATGAGCCATGTCTGAGATATGTTTTTATTATCATAATCGGTGAAGAAAACAACATTTTCAGGCAGGAATAAAAAAAATATTGAGCTAAATTAGTCATCATAGATATTCATATATCATCATTCAGTAATTAAATTTGCTGTAATACCTTTTCCTAGCTCATACGTGAAGTAATGTGGAGGAACACCGAAAAGTTCACAAAACACTCGGCCAATTTACTGCATTGGTTAAGAGCCATGAGAAGAGAAGAAGAAGAAGAAGGGATACCTCTCAAGCCATCACGACGTTACGATGCTTAGTCCCTTCTCAGCTGACTTGCCTGATATTAGTATGGATCCCAGGTCAATGTGGGTTAACATTGAATGAAATGGCTTAAGCCTTAGGCCACTCATCGCTTGAGCTGCCAAAAGGCCACGTTCTCGCGGAGGTAGAACACTTCACGGCAATCATGTTTAGAAGATTAACTATTAGGACAGATACGATGGAAACAATACCCACATGGACAGAATATAATCACCTAAACTAACCATGGAAACCGTAGTGGAGCCATTCTCTGCAATCAGAAGTGACTATCACGTGATTTCGATGTCTTGTCCCACGAATTATTTTTTTCTAGCACAGGGCTGCACTGACTGTGTCCTCTCTCTGCCAATGGTGCGGGTAACTCGAAAATTGTGCACATTACTTTTTGTCATGTTGAAAATACCCTCGCGTTAAAACTCAACTTCTAAAAACTCCTTTTACAAAATTAGGCTTGACCTTATCGGAGGAAAATGTTTTAACCTACGGTGCCTCATGCTTGGGATATTGCCAAGGGATGCCTTTGATGCCATGTGTAAATTCAATATAACTACTCAACGAGTCCCCCTTTTTATTTAGGCATTTAAAATTATTCATCAATTCATTAAGTTAAAATCTAGGTTTTCTAAACTTCTCGCATCAGAATAATATGGCAGTCGGGAATACAAGCTCAAAGGAAAATACACGTAGTTAAATTGAATATTTTACGTAGTATTGCCGTTTAATTTATTATTTCTGGTTTTCAATGTCATAGCTTACGTAAAACAACATTCAACTGTCTCATCGTTACATTCTTGGCCAATCCCCCAAAGTGGGTACGTGCCATTTAGATAAAAAAGATCACGTCGAGAAAATAGCGGAGGTGGATCTGAACGTGGACAGCGTGATTTTCCGCCTCTTAGAAGACCGGGGATGCCGCCCGGAAAAGACTGTGCCACTAACAGAGACGGAGATTTTTGACCTCTGCTTCAAGTCGCGGGAGATCTGCATGAGCCAGCCAATCCTGCTTGAGCTCGAGGTGCCACTCAAAGTTTGCGGCGATATTCATGGTCAGTATACAGACCATATTCGGCTCCTTAAACGCGGCGCTTCCCTCCTGAGGCGAACTACACTTTCCTGAGCGACTACGTTGACCGAGGCCAGCAGTCACTGGAAACCATTTGCCTGCTGCTAGCCTACAAGGTTAAGTACCCCGCAAACTTCTTCCTTCTTCGGGGCAACCACAAGTGCGCGTCCATCAACCGCATTTAAGGGTTCTTCGAGGAGTGCAAGCGCCGATACAACATCAAGCTGTGGAAGACGTTCACCGACTGCTTTAACTGTCTGCCCATCGCCGCCATAGTGAACGAAAAAATATTGTGCTGCCGTGGCGGCCTCTCCCCCGACCTCAAGTCGATGAAACAGATAAGGTGCTTCAGGAGACCAACAGACGTTCCAAAAACAGGCCTTTTGTGTGACTTACTCTGGGCGGATTCCCACAAAAACATCCAGGACTGGGACGAAAACAGTCGCGGTGTCTCGTTCATCTTTGGGGCAGATGTCGTGTCCAGGTTTCTCACCGGACATGACCTCGACCTAATATGCAGAGCTCACAAATTGTTGAAGATGGCTGCGAGTTTTTTGCCAAACGCCAGCTGGTGACCCTCTTCTCTGCTTCCAACTACTGCGGACATTTCGACAACGGTGATGCCATGATGTCCGTCGAATTGGTGCAATGTTGCAGTTGTGAGATACTGAAACCGTCCGGGTGGAGAGTGACCAGCATGACGGTCTCTGCTCCGAAGAACAAGTGACGTCGTCTCGGGGGTCACTGATGAAGTGAGCCTGAGCAGTGGTAAAGGAGATTGTAAAAAAAATAATAAAAGCT